CAATATATATTTCGCATATATTTCCATTTCAATAAAAAATTAAACTAAATTTCTCACAGTGTATACAAATTTTTATACATATGTAGCTGCCGTTAAACACCCTACTCAGACGCTTGTCGCTTTCAGTCTCAGTATTTAAAGTAACATAACTACACTAACGCTATCAAGCACAAATCTCCACCACTCGACAATGTCTTACAATTAGTGTCTATAATCTAATTCAGACACTTACCCACGCGCAACGAGCCCATTATCAGCTCCACAACGCCGGTGAGAAAGGTGAGCAATATGGCAAACTCAATGGGCTTGCCGACAGTGAATTGCAAACTGACTAGAGCCACCAGACTAGTAGGACCAATGATCACTTTATTTATCGAACCAAATATCAGATAGACGAAGGAGCCCAAAAAGGCCGAACACAGGCCATAACGTGCCGGTAGACCGGCTAGCAGCGCGCAAGCAATACTCTCGGGAATTATGGTAAGACCAAGGGTAATGCCGGCTATTAAATCGCTCATAGCCCATTCTGTGTTATAATCGCCAATCCAATTGAGTATTTCGAGCCGACTGCGTAACGCCTTCTTCACTTTACCGCCCAACGTGTGTGGCGTTGAACTGCGACGCAGTGCATCGCTGGTGAAGGGTTTCGCCGATTCCATTATGATTTGTGTGGCATCCTGCGGCAGCATTTGTGATTTTGCCGACTTGTCGACGCTGTCGTAGCTCGTCATGTTTTTTTATTTAATTTTTATGTATTTTTTTTTTCTTTTTACTTTTCGAAAATATTCAAAATTAATTTAAGTATTTCTCTTTTTATATCTCTTTTTATTAACTGTTAATTATTTCTTTAAAAATTAAATCCTTTTATTTCAAATGGCACTGTGTATTTAGGATTTATTTTCTTTTTATTATACACTTCAAACTTTTCATTTCCACATTTACGACTGAACTTTKATTGTAAATTAGCTAAAGAGATTTATTCGTATTTTGTTCACTTTGATCGCGTTTGGTGATTCGCGCGGTTTCGTTCCGATCACGCGTTGYTTTGCTTTTGAACTTTGCGGTGATATGCACGTTACGTTATGCGCCGTCTGACCTGCTCSCGCTCAATTTGACTGCTTGCCGTCCGGGCGATCGTGTCATCGAGTAAACGCTTGGACTGCTCTTATAAGTATTATGTATGATCACTCGACGCGTCGTCTTGTTACATGCGACATACTAGTATGTCGATGTGTAAGCATGCCTTTATTGTCGCATTTGGAGAATTGTCGTATTTGCTCTAAATATAATCGCCTCTTAATGGGATCTTAAGACAGCCGCTATGTATGTATATTTTTGCCTTTTATACGCCCCGCAGTCYCGTCGATATGTATTGTCTGTTTTAGCTCGGCCGAAAGTGTGAATTGTATTTCGTGAATGCAACGAATCGAGCGTAGCGCGTTAACGACGGTGGCTATGCGGCGGGTGTCGTGTAAACAATAACCCGAAACGCTGCAAGTTCACAAATTTTATACCAGCCATWTGAGTATATGTACATTTGTAGCAGTAAGCTAACATAACGGTCGATAAGTAATATAATACATACTTACTTAGCGAGCCGCTTGTCACTAGATAGGCGTTAAAATAAATAAATAAATTCATTCATCATTACTTATCTGTTGATGTGTAGAATGAGATTGTATTTTTGCAAAGTACCTGGTACGACTTCCTCTGGTGCCTGTCGTTGAAGATCAATGTTTTTGGTGGAAACTTTAGAGACAGGAAAGGAAAATGAAACATAAACAGAGTTTTTAAAAGAATTTTTCCAAATTACTTAAATAAATAATGGAAAGCAAGATTTCTGAATTATTTTCTTGTTTTGAAGAGGTGTACTCAGTCAGGTGAACTTTTTGGGGTTAAAATCAAATTTTAGCTCCTTGAATGCATTTGCTGTTTTGAAGAAATGAGCTGGCATCTTGGTTTTCTTGGAATTATCAAAAAGATAAGTCCGTTCCTCTCTTCGGTTTCTTTCTGCTTCAACAAGACGTTTTTTGTTTGCAGAGACTTTCCGTAAGTACTTTGATTCTCATGTTCACGCTAATACTATCAAATGAATTCAGTTCCCTCTCCAGTCATGCACTGCAACGCAGCTAAACTTTTTTAGGAAGGTAGTACCTTGTACGTCCTACGTACGAGAAGACCTTCGTAAAGATAAGTCCGTCCCTCTCTAGTGCTTCTTTCTACTTTAGCAAACCGGTTTTTTCCAGAGTCTSTCAGTCAGTACTTCGATACTCAGGTCAGTGAAGCCAGTTCCCTCTCCAGTCAGTCTCTGCAACGTACAGATGAAGTCTTCAAGTTCCTTTGTTCCCGTTAGTACCTCGTACGTTCTACAAGCCAGAGATCCTTCGTAGAAGATCAATGTTTTTGCTCGAAGCTTCAAACTTAGGAAAGGAAAAAGTCTAATAAACAGATTTTTCAACGAATTCTCCAAATTCCATAAGCCAAGGTGCAAATTTTATTCAAGAAGTGTACTCAGTTAGGCGGCAGTTTTTGCGGTTAAGATAATATTTGGYTCTTAACAAATGTATATTTTTTCTGATTGAATGAAATTAGCTCCCATTGGCCGTGTAACCGCATGAGTGTATTTATCAAAGCTTGCCTTCACTTGGTAGCAATGCCTTTGAATGKTGGAATTATCGAATCCACGTTAAATCCTACTTTACTCGAACCAGCTGGATTTTCAGAGTCTTAATTCTATCAAATGCAAAAAGTTCTCTCTTCAATCGGTCTCTTGTCCCTTTGCTCCCGGTAGTTGGTTTCACACTGAATCTTCATCTGTGTTGAAGTGGTCATAAAATTTGTTTGTTTCTTTGTTTGTTAGTAGATGGTACTTATAGCTTCCATTCGATCACTTCAAAAGCWATTTCATAGAATAACTCATCAATTGAAAAGTCCCCGACTTACAATATTAAAACAAATTTTTTTTTTTGGCAAAATTCGATTTATTTTTAATCAACATAAATATTTCCAAGGGCRATAGATTGATTATACCGACCCTCACACTTTCCCGTACCATTTTGGTCGCACGATTTCACATTTACTTCAAAATAGGCCTCAGTTTCGGCGGTSAACTCTTAGTTCGCCGAAAATTTTTTCCCAGCATTCTATTGACTGTCCAGTCATTTAAGCTTAAATTAGGTAAGAATCTCGGAATTCGMGATACCCAGCTGTAAGCCTGTAAATATTGTATAAATAGATACAACCTACATATGTAGGTCTTAAGATAACTTTTAGGGTGTCAATATACAATATTTACAAACTTACAGCTGGGTATCTCGAATTCCGAGGTGAACTTACTATAATGACTGGACTATGAGGTCTGACAAGAGGAATTAGTCGCAGGAAGTCAGGTCTGGAGAATATATAGGGTGCGGAAATAATTTTAAGCATAACTCATCTCCCAACTGTGCTCGAAATCAGCAACTCGTCGTGGTTTTTGATCAAAAGTGAGCTCCCGCGGTATCCACTTTGCACAGAACTTTCTCAAACCCAAACTTCAGTTCACGGTTATATAAAATTATTTTGTGGCCTTTTCTGATGTTTTCGTTGGCAATAACCTCYTATGGACTTCCACTACGTTCACCATCTTCAGTGTCTTCGGTGCTCTTTTCAGCACGTTTGAAATTAGCCAAACCTATCCTTCATGGTTAATTTTCCTGATATCATGTCAGAGCGGGGAATTTTCAATTGGCTTTTTATTAGTGTTTTGTTTTTAGTTTATCAATCGCAAATTATTATTTTTTTTTACAAACATCGGCAAAATAATAATGGAAAAACAATTATAATGATAAATCTTTTGAGCTGAACTTTGGAAGCATGCAAACGATGTGTGTAATCATGGTCCATTAAAGTAAAGTTTTCGAAACCTTACCGATATAGTTGATCACCAGATATTACATGGAGTCAAATGAGACTGATAAATCTGATTTTATGGTCAGTATTTATATAGAACTACATACCACTTTCTGAATAAGATAAAAAATTAAGACAAACTCTCCAAAAAGTGAGGAATTTGTCTCTCAGAACTTTAAGCAGTAGATTAGTATTAAAGTTATCCTCACTAACTCCTGAATTAATCAGGATGAATACAGTTAATCCGGACTAACGCGTCGGGCGTAATCACTGAAAAAATTAATCCATTGGGTCGGAGGAAAGACTTTTCAAACAGACGAAAAAATTGTATTCGCTTCTGATGTGAAAACAACGGTTCCGTGGAGCGAGTAGGAGTTTCGGGTATTAATATCCATATCTCAGTTAGCCTTTTGTTATTCCTAATATATTTGTAATGAATCACGARTCGACTGTAAATTGTAATACACTTTCCATATATGTATGTATGTAAGTCGCTCATTCAGATAAGAGCCGTGTAAGAGTATGCTATAATAATATAACAAATTACGACGCATACATATATGATATCCGGTATTTACAAGAATGCTACCCATTAAACTTTTTCCACTTGAAAATTTCTTAATCATTTAATCATTTGGCTATCTAAACACTTGTTTTATTTGTTTAGAATAAAATTTAATGACAACCCTTCAAGCACTAACTTTTATATTCTATTATTGATTATTTATATCTTATCTATTATATTACGTGTATGACTATATTATAGGACGTATGTGTATTATTTGAATTTTGCTACAATTAATTAATTACTTTCAAATATTTGCTAAAGAATGCAAATATTTATTTTTCGCTTTCTAGTAATAAAACGGAGTTATTTGTATACGAATTAAAGTTCGTTTGTTGTGGGCTATCAATAAATCATCTGGTATAGGCATATATATTGATTGATGGTATGCAATTAAGATACAACAAAACACGTGCTAACAAAAGTTTTGAACCAAACAGACATCCTGACAGACATATCTGTTGAGCAGAATGTACATTTTTGACAGCATGTATTTTTATTACTAATTGCTGAAATAAATAGATAGCATTCAAAGAGTCTGCCAAGGGTTTTTTTTTGCAGGGAATGTCCAGATATTCGATTCAAATGTTAAGTCAGCTGTTGTTTTACGTCAGGTGATGTAAACTAGCTTTGTACTTAAACTCAAACTCGCTTCACAAGGTGGTGCYTGTTAGTAAATTAATATAATAATTAAAGCTGTCGTTAGAAATCAATATAATTTGCTAGACGTAATCGATTACCGATTATATTTTGCGTAAAAATGAAATGAATATAGACGTAGTATTTTATTTGAATTMTATTAGGCTTTGTGAGCTATTAATAGATAAGTTTATATAGGGGTAAAATAAATAGCCAAGAGAATAATAATTAACGTTGATGCATGTGTTTAAGTGACTGATTGTTCCCAATTTAAAGCATATAAACCCAACTCTGTTTCTTTCTGAGTGATGTAGGCGCCATAAAATCTATAGACTAAGTTGTGAGATAATCTGTTTCCATCTAGACGGCAACTGCATAATACCCCCTCTCGTAGACGCCCCCTTTCTTATTTCCGAAGAACTCAGTCACCTACTTCGCACAAGCCTCTTTTGAGTTCAACTTAACACAAACAA